TTGTCCATTTGAGGCATGGGCAAATGAAGGACTTGGGTCATTTTGGACACTTAAGCAATGTTTGGTGTCTGTTTCTTAGGAGTGATTGGGAGAGGGAAGATGATTTTAGCTATTTATTTGTAATATTTTAACCCTTTGTTTTTATACAGTGTTTCTTTCTAAATCTATGAGGTTCAGGGTTCAAAATGATGGGAGGTGAAAGAGGAAGGCTTATTTCATGGTAGAGAGCTTGTAGCTTTGCTGATACTTTACCATTAAGCCCAAGCAGACTTAATAAGTAAGAGCCTGTCTTTGGAGTTAAGTAGAAAAACCAAAATGACATTTTCATTTTAGGAGGTTTTTCATAGGGTTCAGACATCATAGGAATATTAGGAGTTATCTCCCTATGGAAGTAATGATTTATCTTTTTCCTTAAAAAAAAAAAAATAAACTTATGGTGGCTTTTGGGGATGTAAACATGTTTTCAGATGCAGTAAGGTATAATGTGGGATAGCCTTCCTGACCCACTGGCATGAAAATCATTATAGAATTAATAGTTCTCCTGTTTCCACAATGTGCCAAAAGTCCGCATTCCAGCATTTTGTTTGCAGGAGAACTGATGCCATTCCTAAGAGCTGGGCTCTTTGTTTCTCTTCATCACAAGGAGGAGTTCAGACTTTAACCACTCCACTGTATGCTCCCTGAGATAAGACAGTGAAAATTTTGCAGCCATAGTTCACTTAAAACAATTTCAAGCTCACTTGAAGTAATGGGGGCCTGGAATGCTAGGTGAGCATGAAGATAAACCCTTGCTACTATGTAGCAACACAATTGGACCTTTTTGGAGAAACAGGTCTGAATCTGGATTCTGGGGGACATCAATAAGAAGCCCTTCTCACAAATATAGAAATCCAGGAGACCATTTTGAGTACAACAGAAGTTCTCAGTATTTGGAGGGTTCTCTCAAAATTCTGCGGCCTTACTTTGATTTTGACACCTTGCACTGTGCCATTCCTGATGATTCCATTCAGGATCTGTATCAGCGGGGCAGGCATAATCCCCAGCACAACACTTCTGGATTTAAAAAAAAAAAAAAAAAAAAGCCAGGTGATTCATGTGCGTTTGTGTGTCATAAGTGGAGTGACTTCATCAGATACGGAAGAAGATTTCTATATTCAGCTCTTTCTGCAGGTTGGATTTAGCATAGAATTGGAAAATCTGCTTTGGCTTTCTTTCCTGACTGTCTCTCATTTCCTCTAGTGTTCTCCCTTTACTGGTCATCAGCTCTCAACAACTCTGCCACTTTTGTACAAGTCCCAACGTAATAAGAAGTAGGAAATGAAACATTGCAAATTGGAACAAGAAAAGTTATCGGTTACCATATCAGAGTCAAATGTCTTGGGTGACACTAAGAAGGACATGGGCAAGGTGATACCAGAGTGCTTTATCTTGTGATGCTGATACAGTAGCAGCCTCTCAGACATACAACAGGTTGGATTTCTCAAAAGTTTGTCACCTAGTTTTGAATCCTATCCCGTTGGTTTCTGCAGGAAAAGTAAAAAGTTACATGGTTTTTAAGTTTGTTTTGGGTGGGGAAAATCTTGTGGGGAATGTACTGCATAGTATCAGGGGCTCAGCTCCCCAAGCAGAGCCAACAAATATCAAAATGAGTAAACTGGGAAGCTTTTTCTCTCTTTCTGTCTTCATCCCAGATCAAAGAATCCCGAGTTAGGATCTGGATGAAGGATAAGCCCCTGAATTGTCGATGGGCACACCCCACACACTGACCCAGCATCTGAACTTGCTTAACAGGGAGCCGGGGCTAAACTGCTTCACCCTGCCTGAGAACCAGGGAACACTGCATTTCTCCACAGGGTGGAGGAGAAGAGGCAGAATAAACCAAGCCTGGGACACCTCCCTCCCGTCTAGGTGTATTCATTCTCCTGTTTCAAAAGACGGCAAGGACATGAAGTCAACTTCTACCTTTCTTCTGCTGCTGGTGTCTTACGTATTCTCAGTTTGACCTGATTCCTCTTCTGTCTTTTGGCTTCATGTTGGGGGTTCTTGGTCAAAATCTGCTCTGATGTACATGAAGATTTCAAATTAAAATCCAGTGTCTTAAAACAAGTATTTTTTGAAGGGGTGGGGAGAGCAAGCAGGATATAATTTGCCAAAACCAGGCTTGAGGTTGGTGACTCTTGAAAAGAATTTTCCTTTTTCAGGCCTAGGTCTGAAAATCTAGGGCAGCAATATCATGAATTTTCAGAAGAAAGTCTTTCAGGGAGCCAATGAGTCATACAGTATCCACAGTTGAGTCACTTAAAGCAGATGTCAGTATAGGAAGCATTCACAATCCTTAAGCAATCTTGGTTTCAGAAATTTTCCTCATTTCTATTCTGCCCCCCATTTATTTCTATCCTGGAGTTTGTTTCTGGAGGGGGCAGAAAGTATTTAATATCTTAGAAATTATGTTGGGAAAGATGCTCAACTGTAAGTGCTGAGTTTTAAATTTTGAGTTAAAAAATGTACATCAGGAGCAGTGGGGAGGGCCTTTTTTAAAGGAAATCTTTCAAATTTGATTTTCTGTGTGTATGGCCGTTCTGTAAATACTTTGGGGTTTTTCATTTTTTGAAAGTAGACACAATTTGTGGGATTTTCCTCCCTAAAACGTTACAAAAAACCTGTTTATTTACATACAAATAAAATTCTTTGATAAAAAGTCATATGCCTATGTGTAATTTTTGCACTTTGTAACCTTTAGTTAATTTAATGTGTGCTGAGGATTGAACCTAGTGCCTCACCTGCTATGCAAGTGCTCTACCCTGAGCCCACAACCTCAGCCCACCTATTTATGTCTAATATTTTAATTTTTTGTATAATCTTCAGTTCAGCTTCTCAAAAAAAAAAAAAATATATATATATATATTTTTTTTTAAAGAGAGAGTGAGAGACAGTGAGAGAGAGGGAGAGAGAGAGAGAGAATTTTTAATATTTTTTTTTTTAGTATTTGGCGGACACAACATCTTTGTATGTGGTGCTGAGGATCGAACCCGGGCCGCACGCATGCCAGACGAGCGCGCTACCGCTTGAGCCACATCCCCAGCCCCCCCAAAAAATATTGAAACAAGTAAAAAAAGTAATGTCTTCCCAAAGTTCCCTACATGGGTCCACAGGCATGGACATCTCAGACAAGATTTTTTTTTTTTTTTTTTGTCTCTGGGTGTCAGTTTTTCTGCCTTTTGCAGTTGTTACCACATGGATCAGTCATGTGGGAGAAAATAGCTCTTAGATGTGACTAAATTTAAAGGCTGTTTTATTACACTGGTGGAAGTGAAGTAGAAACATTGAAAGTATCTGGGACCAGAGAGGAAATAGAACATGTAGATCTTGGTTTGTGGACCTGAGAAAGTTTTCTGAAGCTAGGGTTCCTTGCTTATTAGGATATAAAGGAAAGGTTATTAAAGTGCTTTAAGAATTGGGTAAGAAGCCAGGTAAAATATGCTTATCCTTAACGATGTGCAGTGCTTGATGCTCTTAAATGTTCATTTCTTTGAGATTCATAACAAGCCTGACAGTCACTAAAACCACTAATTAAAAGGGGTGTGAAGACAAACATAACTGCTTTGGGAGCATAACAAATGTAAGCAGTACTGCTGCTTCTGCAAGGACTGCTGGGGTTTCATACAGTTTATAATATTTCATGTTTGGGATATTATTCTTTAGTTTCTTTTGAAGGGGCAACTCAACTTTTAATTGGGCCTCAGTTCACGGGAATCAGTCACAAATTCCAGCACCTAGAAGTCCCTAGTTGTTAAAATATAGAGGTATGATGACATGGACCAACTTCTACACAAGTCGCCCAAGAGTGACCAAAGTCAGTTTCTACTGGGCAAATGCCCCCGCCTACTCGCTCTCACACGCTTGTTTCTCCCGCCAAAGTTGCGTCAGTCTCAGGTTCTCACCAACCAGTGCCCTGATTGGAGAGCGGACAGGCACTAAAGCCCATTGGGCGCCAGCAGCTCCGGAGGGGCGGGGAAGCCAAAGGCATTTTTGCCTCGTCCGCCCCTACCCCATTGATGCGCGCCCCTCCCCCTGCCGGAGGAATGGTAGCCCAGCTCTAGCCCTGCACCCTCTGACCCTCAGGCCTGAGGTGTGGCCTCGGGGCCACCCCCGCAGCAGAACCGGGCACTCGGCCTCCCCCTGAGCGCAATTAGGCCCAGCCTTTTCGAGCCATGCACTGGGAGGCACCCGCCCTGCAGCGGACCCCCAGGCCTCCCTGCAGCACCCCGTAATGCAATCCACTGGGGCGGGGGAGGCGGCGGCGGCGGCGGCGGCGGCGGCGGCGGCGGCAGCGGCAGCAGCAACTACGGCAGCGGCGACGACGGCGGCGGCGGCGGCCACGGCATTACTGCCCCAATCTAGAGACATCCAAAAAGAGGAGGAAAATGGCTCCAAGCAGGGACCGCCTCCTGCACTTTGGGTTCAAGGCGACAGTGAGTGATAGAGGATGGGAGTTGGGTGGTCAGAAACGATGTGTGAGCCAACCCCGGGTACAGGGGAGTTAGTGACAAGCCTAGGGTTTGAGAGGACTAGGCCAAAAGCTCTGGTTCTGTGTGGGTAGGTGCATGCCTGTTTGCCCTCTGAGGGGAGGAGAAGGGTTCTGGGCCAAAAGGGGGCTCCGGTGCGGTGTGCTGTCCTCCTGCTTTCCTCTCCCTCACGAGTCCACGAGCACGCGCGCACTCGCTCCCGCCCCACACCCCCCCCTACACAAACACATAGACACTTAGGCACTTCCCTGCCTCGCCTTCTCCCGGTGGGCTGGCCTGCCTCGGAAGCGGGAGGGGGTCGAGCCACCACCTCCGCCGAGCTCCGGCTGCTCGCGGGCGCACGTCAGGGGCTGCGCCTGTGGTGGGGGAGGGGTGGTCTCGCACCGCCGCCGCGCGCTCCTCCCCCTCCCCCGGCGTTCCGAGGCCCGGGCGGCTCTGCCCAATGAGGAGCGGCGTTGCTGGCAGGTGGGGAGTGTTTTTGTTTTGGGTTGAAGTTGAGGCTGAGGAGAGAGCCGAGCTATAGACGAGCAGTCCTCGCGGCCGCTGGAGCCGCGGGAGGTGGCGGAGGCCCCGCAGTAGCCTAGAAGTCTCTGCTGCCCGTCGTACACCCCCTGCTTTTCCCCTTCGCTGCCGGCTCCCGGTCCCGGAACTCTCGGGCCTGCCCTGGGCCCCTGTGTTTGCACTCCGCACGCCGCAGCGCCCGGCCCGGGCCGCACCCGCCGGCCCCATGAGGAGAGACGTGAACGGAGTGACCAAGAGCAGGTTTGAGGTATGAGTTCGGGGGGCTCGGGCAACGAGAAAGGCCAGCCCCGCACTCCTACGTTGAAACGTTCGTTCGCTCCTCTCTGAGCCTCCTCCCTTGCCTGGCGCCACCCACCACCGGCGGGGCTGCCAGCCCTCACGACCCTTCTCTTGACCCGAAAGCCAGCGCCGCCCGGCTTGCCTAGCTCTCCAGGGAGCACGCCTGCTGCCCCTTCCCACCGAGCGCCACGGCGGGGGATTAGCTCTGGCGCCCTAATTCCCCCCTCCCCCCTGATCACTCAGTTTTCCATTCTTTACACACCCTTGGCTTGCCTCCTTCCATTCGGTAGAAAAAACATCACGGCTCCCACCGGCCGGAGCGAGCTTTTTCTTCCTGCCACTTTCGTGGATCGTTTCCCATCGGTCGAGCGGAGAAATGACCGATGAGGGGCCATTTCTCGAGTTTAAGACCTTGATTAAACTAAGGCAGTGGGGGTAGCCGACTGGGATGATAGAGGAGACTGTGGGTTTTCGGTCCTGTGTTGAGTTTGAGTATTGTTCGGATACTTCCTCTTCTTTCCGTTTAGTCTGGACTTTTGTAGCTCATTGTTTGTGGGAACCCTTAGATGTCTATGTGGTTTGAGATTGGGACGAAGATCTGAGAGACTTGAAAATCCTTTGGGGTCTTGTGGTCTCCTAGGAACTTTACCTCCTCCGGTGATCGAGGTTTATAGTTGGTCATGGAATTGAGAAATGTAAAGTGTCCAAGTATCTTTAGAGAGTAGTCACCAAGTGGGGAAGGCATTCCTTTGAAAGTGAAGTATTGTAACTACTGACGAATTACAATAGTATAATCATGTAGAGGAAGATTGATTGAGAGGATAAGAGAGAAAGAAACGTATACAACAAGAAGAAGAGTAAATCTTATCTGGCCTTTTCTGGCAGAGAATCAGGCTGACCTGGGATCACTCACGGCTCAGTGTACATCTCATTTGGTGATTTTCTTCGTTTTCACTCAAAAGATGAAATTGTAAGAGGGTAAGACAAAAACTTTAGGAAACTCACCAACTCTGTGCAGAGGGTGAAATATCTTAATTAAGGGTCTGCAGTTTAGTCTGTTCATTTCTTTAAATGCTTGCGATGAAAATATTTGAAATTATCCCCAAAGACTAGATAGGATACATTTGGAGGAAGTTTAAGCTACAGTGTTAAGTTGTGGATGAGAAGTGGGGAAAATTAAAGAATTGTTCGCCTTAGAGTTTTTTGTTTGTTTGTTTTTGTTTTGTGGTACCAGGGATTAAACCCAGGGTCATTTGGCCACTGAGCCACTGAACCACATCTCCAGCCCCATTTTTATATTTTATTTAGAGACAGGGTCTTGCTATGTTGCTTAGGGCCTTGCTAAATTGCTGAGTCTGGCTTTGAACTTGCTGTCCTCCTGCCTCAGCCTTCCCAGTCTCTGGGATTACAGGCCTGTGCATGCCACTGAGTGCAGCTTGGAGTTTTCATATAAAATTTAATGGGGGGCAGACTGGAGATATAGCTCAGTTGGTAGAGTGTTTGCCTCATCTGCGCAAGGCCCTGAGTTTAATCCCCAGCACCACCAAAAAAAAAAAAAAAGGGAAGAAGTATTAGATGTTAGTATTTGATGTTATCTCAGTAGGATGTTATGTTGCTCTAATGTACAAAGCCCAGACTAATTAATGGTGGTTTCATATTCAGCATTATTGTGAAAGTCCAGAATGTCATTAAAATTACAGAATAGACATTTGTCAGTTAAGAGGAATCAGAAGTACCAAATCCTGAATATTAAGTGGGGCTTAGATAGCTTTTTTTTTTTTAATAGTTATTTTTTAGTTTTAGGTGGACACATATCTTTATTTTATTTTTACGTGGTGCTGAGAATCGAACCCAGTGCCTCACGCATGCTAGGTGGGCGCGCTACCACTTGAGCCACATCCCCAGGCAAAGATAGCTTTTTGCCAATGCAGGTAGTTCTTTTATCATTTTTCTGTCCACTTTAGGTCGTTGAATTGTTGGAAAGAATTCTCTTGTGGTGTGTACTTAAAAATTACATTGCTATTTCCTGTTTTTGTTATAGCTTTACAGTTTTATCTGTAGTGCTGGCATACTAAAAATAACAAGAAAATTTATTGCTTTATTAAGTGTAGCTATTTACCTTGATTACTATGTAGCAGGCAGCTAAGTCTTTCTAAATATGATCTGAGAAGGTGAAAAGAATAAGGTGAGAAACCTCCTTTACTTTTACTTCTGTGCATCATAGGCAAGCACTGCCCCACTGAAACACATCTTCAGCCTGAACCTTTATATTTACTGTTCATGATTACAGTGTTTATAAGCCAAAAATTATTCAATCAGTATGTGAAGTGTTCCATGTCAGAATAAAATGAATAATGTCTGGATGAACTGTTAGAATTTTCAATATCTGAGTATTTCTTAAAACTACTTACCTCTTTGTTGATCTAATTTATAAGTAATAAGACAACCAGTCAATTGGACTCTTATTATTTTATTTTTTTGATACTGGGGATTGAATCCAAGGGTGCTTAACCACTGAGCTACATCCCCAGTCTTTTATTTTTTATTTTGAGACATGGTCTTGCAGAGCTGCTTAGGGCCTCACTAAGTGACTGTGGCTGATTTCAAACTTGGATCCTCCTACCTCAGCCTCCTAAGTTGCTGGCATTACAGGCCTCTTATAAAGCAATAAATTTATTGGAAATATTTCAAGTATTTACTTTCAATAAAAGATATAGGTAAATAAAACAGGCTTTTCATGTCTAAAACTTTTTTTTTTCGGTGGGGTACTAGGGATTAAACCCAGGGCTACTTAACCACTGAATCACATCCCCAATCCTAAAACAGTTTTTTTTTGGGGGGGGGTATTGGGAATTGAACTCAAAGGTATTCGACCACTGAGCCCCATCCCTAGCCCTGTTTTGTATTTTATTAGAGAGAGGGTCTCACTGAGTTGCTTCCTCACTGCTAAATTGCTGAGGCTGGTTTAGAACTCTAGATCCCCCTGCCTCCGCCTCTGGCTCTGCCTCCACCTCCCAAGCCGCTGGGATTACAGTGCGCCGGCTTGCCCTGCCCTAAAACAAGATTAAAAAAAAATTTTTTTTAAAGTTGTAGATGGACACAATTCCTTTTATTTGGTACTGAGGAACGAACCCAGTGCTTCACACATGGTAGGCAAGAGCTCTACCACTGAGCCACAGCTCCAGCCCCAAACACCTCAAAATTACAGATTGCTTTTTAAATAGCTGGTAATTTTTATGATTGTAAATAGTTGATCTTTGAGAATTTTTCTGAGTGCAGGAAATCTTATACCTCACTGTTTTTGCAAATAATAATGACTAATTTCAAATAGCAGTTAGGCCTAATACAAAAAGAAAAAATTTGGCGGGGGGGGGGGTGTGAATAACTGAAACTTATGATCTTTCCATAGTTGATTCATCTTATAGGAAATGTTTTATTCTGTATGCTTTTGAATGTTGTAACTGGAGGCCACATGGTTTAATCTCACATACGGGCATAGAACTGCAGTTTAAAAAAAAAATGGAAGGCTGGGGCTGTAGCTTAGTGGCAGAGAGCTTGCCTAGCATGCATGAGGCACTGGGTTCGATAATCAGCACCACATAAAAATAAGTAAAATAAAGGTATTGTGTCCAACTACAATTTTTAAAAAATATATTTAAAAAAATGGAAATTAAAACTAAGTTTGGCGCTGTGGCACACGCCTGTAATCCCAGGGGCTGGAGGAACTGATGCCGAAGGACAGCTGAGTTCAAAGTCAGCCTCAGCAACAGCAACGGGGGAGGTGCTAAGCAACTCAGTGAAACTCTGTCTCTAAAGAAAATACAGAATAGGGCTAGGGATGTGACTTGATGGTCGAGTGACCCTGAGTTCAATCCCCAGTATCAAATAAGTAAGCCAAGAGAGTGGCCAGATATGTAGCACTCTGTAGAATAGTCAGAGTAGATGTCTATTCTAGTTAAAAGAAATCTAGAGATGTCATTCCTTCCTCTGTTACCTTGGCATTAAATATATATACAATAAATATCCTTTATACGTTGACAGAATATGTTAAACTGTGTTAGTCACTTAAATGGAATTCATCGTTCAAATACTTACAGTATTACTTATAATGAACTTTTTTGGCCAATTTTGATAATTTCCTTTCAAATTTAGTGATAGTTACTGAATGCGTCTCACCTGGACTGAGCAAAATGTTTTACCTCAGTTATTTCTTTTTGGTTGGGTGCGGAATTGAACCCTGGGCCTCATGCTTGCTAGGCAAGTGCTCTACTACAGAACCACATCCCCAGCCATCTCAGTTCTGTTTCTCACAATTATGTTTTACAGTTTCGGAAAGTGAGGGCCTGATATGTGTTCAAGTTCAAAAGTGGGAGAGCCAAGATTTCAGTCTGCATTTTTAAAAATTCCACTCTTTATCCTGTTCTGCATAACTCACCATAAAGCCCATAAAATGTGTGGGAATTTGCTTTCCTAAAGTTCTTCATCCAGTATATTTAGTTTTGTATTTGCTCTAAAAAGAATGAGTGTACCCTTTATTTTAAGTGCATTAAATAACATTATCTTAACATCCTATGGGAAATATCTAGACGAGCCCTCAGATTCAAGTTTAGATTTTTTTCAGTTAAACTTTTTCACTTTGTCATACTCTTAATAGCTACATTTTGACTCTTGAGGGGGAAGTTCTATCTTTCTTAGGGCTCATTAAAAAGCCTGACATTTATGGGCTGGGGTTGTGGCTCAGTGGTAGAGCACTCTTTGTAGGCTCTGGTTTCGATCCTCAGCACCACATAAAAAAAAATAAAATAAAAGTATTGTGTCCAACTACAACTAAAAATAAAAAATTTTAAAAAGCCTAACATTTTAAAAAAATGTCATAGTGGTAATATTAGCTGACATCCACATATCATTTTAAAATTTAATTTGTGCCTGGAGATGTTAAGTCTCATGTAAGTTAGGAAGTAATATGCT